ATAAATAAAATTTAAAATAATTTTTCTCATTAATTTTAAAATTTAAGAATAATTTTTTAACAAACACCCGTGCAATACACGAGTGTTGTACTAGTTATTTTGAATGTCATATTTTATTAAAAAAAATCATAAAGTGTAGCAAATATGTATAAGGATCGTTTAAGAAAATTGCGTCGTTCACATATAAGTTCCCTATATCTATACATTTATGAAGTTAGTTTAAGTGCAAGTAGACCAATTTTTACCGTTTATGAATAATTGCTTTGTGATGTAATTTATAATTAGTTACTAAATTGCATTTTTTTTATGACTCATTTATGAATAAAATGTATGGTTTTATTTTAAATGTCATAACTTAAAAAATGTTTTCAAAAAATATAACAAATATGGAAAACAACATAAAAATTAAAAAAAAAAAAAAAAGATCTTGTGGCCTACATAGTAATAATCCGCTGGATTCAGCTGGCGATCCACTCTAATCCCAACTTTAATACCCTAAAAAATACAATTTTATTTTTCTTGGGAAGGAAATGGCTCCATCCACACCTGCACCTAAATAATAGTTTTTTTTTTTCATCCACCATACTGTAAGGTTGATTAATCATTTTCTATATAATAATTGAATTGCTAACTTAAGCCTGATTTGTTGTCGCCGTAGTAAAGCAACACATGATTACTAATTTTAAAACAAGGACAGCCCATATTTATCAAAACAGACTATATTTTCCAGGCTAGATGAAACTTTAGAACATGGGTCTGGCCCAATTTAAACATTATCTGACTAGTATTCTTTTGAACTTTATCAGAAATAATATTGACTCAAAAACTCTAATCAAATAAGCTCCTTACCTTTTTTTTGTCCAAAGGCAAACAAACAATTCATTAAAATAAACTCCTTACTACACAAGATAATTTGTAAATCTTGTTGGCCAAATCTCTAAAAAGGTGTAGTTCGCAAATTTAGCACCAATATCCTAATAAACAAATGAGTCCATTAATAAGTACTTCTGAACATTTATGTTTTACATAAAATCATCAAATTTATTCAATTTTTGACATTTTATTGAACTACATGAACGGTAAGCCCCGGCAGGAGGTATATTGGAGTGTACCTGGGCTGTATCCCGGGTGAAAGTTGAAATGTCTTTAGTATTTTTATTTAAAAAATGAAGCCAATTTATATAATAACCCACTTCAGCCCAGGTAATATTTAAGATTTCTTGAGTAATTTTATGTCAAAAGTAAGTCAATTTCTATACGTGGCCCATTTCTTGTTTCACAGCCGCGCCCAAGCAATTAAAAATTAAAGCAAGACCAATAAGAAATAAGTAACCCAACATCATTTCTGAAGTACCCTCGAATCAACATTTGAAATTATTCAATTGATGAGTGCAATAATTAAAAAGTTAAATGTTGTTTGAATACCCTTCTTTTTCTTTTGGAAATACTTCATGAGAAATCTATTGCTTAGAAATATATTGTGAAAAGAATATTCACTTTTTATTAGTTTTTGTATACGTATTCTTTTGTTCGTATTTTATACATATCTTATGAATTAGATTTACTAATTTTTTGATAATCTACAAATAGACATTCATATTCAATGTAAGAAATAAATTTTTTTAATGCTATTTATTACCTATCATTACCAAATACACACTACAAGAAAATAATGAAATTTTTACATAAAATTTCAACAAATATATATTCCAATAGAAATTTAAACAGTAATTCCAATGAACATTACATTGCTATTATTTTCGTTGTAATTTTTTAGTTGGTTGGAATAAACTTTTCTTTGGAATTTCCGTTGAAATCGTTTCAACAAAAACTATATTGTTGGAATATCTATTGAATATGTTACCGTAGAATTTTCTATTGAAAAATGACATTTTTTTAGTGACAAGCTATTTTTACATAAAAAAATGTTATTTAAGGGCTAATTAATAAATATTATTTCACGATATACAAATCATTATTTATCTACAGAAATTGCATTTTTAAAATTTAGCTATTAATTTATCTTTTTCACATATAGTGAATGGTTATCTTTTTGTGTGTTTTATTTTTATTGGGAGATTCTACAATCCTATTACGGAACTATTCCGTCGGGATTGGTAACCGTTAGATCAACTATCCACGACGGTTACATGATGATCTAACAGTTACAAATCCCGACGGAATAGTTTCATAGCGGGATTACAACATTTCTCATTTTTATTAATAGTAAGTTTAAAGCTAAAGGTTTGATAAGTTGAAATACTAAATCATGCTAGTAAAAAATAATTCAAAATAATATTTTTTAATCTAAATAATTTTAGCCCGGGTAGATTTCAAATCCTGGCTCCGCCCCTGCCGGCAGGTAAAATCATCAAATATATTCAAATTTTGATATTTTATTGAACTACATAGACCCTGGCGGG